GATCTACTTACTGATTTAATAGGAGTTTGGTGAGTTCCATGTAGTATGGGCTAGGCATTGGGGTGAAAGTTTCTTCCTTTCGTTCACAATCCCTCATCTTTTCCAACTTCTCTGAAATTTAGAAATTGATACATTTTACCATCATTATAACCAATATATTTTCTAAACCTTCCAAATTAACAAACATCTGTATTACCTATTTGATGATTAGCAAACTATATGAAAAAACCTTTTGAGATAACACTTATGATTAACTTAAAAATTTCTCTCAAACAGAAATGTGAGTTATTGTAGGTGTTGCCTTGGCCTGCAGAGTGTTTCTACAAAGAATGTGTCAGAATCAGTTCTTTTTTTAGGGAAAGAGCAAAGTATTTTACCTTTGATGTAGTAAGTGATCAAAGCAATCGGTGACACAAGAAACATTCGTCTCAGCACTTTGGGAGGCCAAGGCAGGTGGTTTCCTTGAGGTCAGGAGTTCAAGACCAGCCTGAGCAAGAGCGAGACCCCATCGCTAAAAAGAGCAGGGCATTGTGGTGGGTGCCTGTAGTCCCATCTACTGGAGAGGCTAAGGTAAGAGAATCGCTTAAGCCCAAGAGCTTGAGGTTGCTGTGAGCTATGACACTATGGCACTCTACCAAGAGTGTCAAACTGAGACTTGGTCTGAAAAAAAATAATAAGGGGCCAGGCTCAGCTCCTACAGCTCAGCAGTTAGGGTGCTGGTCATATACACCAGGACTAGCAGGTTCAAACCCAGCCCAGGCCTGCTAAACAACAATGACAAGCTCAACAAAAAGAAACAGCCAGGCACTGTGGCAGGTGCCTATAGTGCCAGCTACCTGGGAGGCTGAGGCAAGAGAATCTCTTGAACCCAAGAGTTTGAGGCTGCTGTGAGCTATGATGCCATGGCACTTTACCCAGGGCAACAAAGTGAGACTCTGTCTCAAAAAAAAATAGAAAAAGAAAAAGAAACGTATGGATACCAAAGCCTTATTCAGAAAAGAAAAGGATACCTTACTAACTACAGCCACCCGAGCTTGGGGATGGTGTGACATCCCAGGAGCTACAGTGCCTGGCCCCTCATACTTGTTTTTAAAAAATCTAGAACAAGGCGGGGATGGAGAAAGATGGTGGATCAGAAGGATCATTCAACTGAGCTCTCCTAATATGACTGGGGAAAAAGAGAACCCGCCATACCTGGCGCAGGGACCTCACCTGGAGTCGTAGCTCAGAGAGCAGAGAGAGGAGATGGAGGATACAGCATGGGATCTGCAACAGTGGAAATCTTATACATCATCTCTGAGACAAGGCAATTGAAGCAAAGAAGGAAATAAGAAGGAAAAAGGAAGACAAGGAGGTGAATAAGAAGAAAGAACACGTGAGGAGGAACCAACAAAAAAACTCAAGCAGCATGAAAAACCAAACAGAACAACTCCCCCAAGGGACCACGAGGCAGCTACTGCAGAAGACTCCACCAATAAAGAATTAATGGACTTGAAAGAAAAGGAATTTAAAATATGGATAAGACAATAAAAGGAATGGACAAGAAAATGGAAAGGCAGAACCCAAAGTCAGATGAGAGATACACAGAATAGAGAAAAGAATTGGCGGAGCTGAAGGAAATGGAAGCGACAACCAGGGAATGTGAAGATGCGGTACAAAGTATCAAAGCAGGTGAGACCACGGAGAAGGAAGACCCTCAGAGCCAGAGGATAACGTTTTGCATTAACCCAGGTAGTTAAAGAGGCAGAAAAGAAGAGAGAAAAAGCAGAACAGGCGCTTAGAGAACTATGAGACTCCATGAAGTGTTCAAACATGAATCATAGGGATTCCTGAAGGGGGAAGAAGACTGTCGCAAAGGAATGGAAGCCCTACCGGAGACCATCATAAATGAAAACGTTCCAAATTTTACTAACTATCCTAACACACTTCTTTCAGATGGATATTGAACTCTGGGTCATCTCAACTCAAACAGAGCCTCTCCAAGACACACTGTAACGAAATTGTCCAAAGTCAAAATGAAAGAAAAAATTCTCGGCTCAGTGCCTGTGGCTCAAGCAGCTAAGGCTCTAGCCACATACCCCTGAGCTGGTGGGTTCGAATCCAGCCCAGGCACGC